GAGGGGTTTTGGGTTTGATTAGTGTCGTATGGGGATAAGGCTATAGGGAGGTCAAGCCATGGGTTCTTGGAACTACTATGATGGGGCACAAGGTGTTAATGGGTAGAATGCAAAAGCTCTAGGGGAGAGAAAGACTAGTGGCTGGGGGTTCTCCTAGAGGGGCTGGCACTTGGGAGAGGTCTAGTTTTGTAAAGATGTGGGATTGATAGGGCATAGGGCTTTTGGCATGGAATGGGGTGTTAGCAATGGTGGTTCAGGGGTGAACAGGGGGTGAATAGGGTTTGCAGGGTATGGGAGTGGCCAGTGGTGCCATGCAAGGCACCACTGCCACCCCTGTCTTGTTATTCTTTCTTTTCTCTCTTTTTTCTTTTTTTTTTTTTCTTTTTTCTTTTCTTTTTCTTTTCTTTTGTTTTTTTTTGTATTTTTTTATATTTAATTAATAAATGATATTTGATAAACAAAAGTAAAAATGAAACAAAAATAGTGGGCTCAGGCCCAGAAAAGAAATTGAGCTTTAACTTGTGAGCTCGATAAAACTTAAAAACTTAAATCGAGATCCGGACAAATTTGGTGTCTACATTTTGATGGGCACCGGCAAATGTCGAAATAATCATCTTTGCATTTAGATTTGGTAGATCGACAATGCTATTGCTTTTAGATTAAATTTGATTGGCAATTGACATTGACACGTCTTCTTCAGTTAGTCATCACACTTTTGGTCGATAATTTTGTCACTAAAAAAGTCCCTCTCACTTGCAAGTTGGCTTCCCTGTAGTGAATAAAGCAGGCAGCTAGAAAGGACTTGGAAATATACTATTGAGGTCTGAAAACAAACAAACAAAGAATTTTCGTTCTAATTGTAGAGATTTGCAAGTTGTAATTGAATAATAGTCTTTCTATAATAAAAAGTTAAATAGTTGTCTTGAATTCACTATTATGAAGTTGGCGTTCTGCAAGTGTTGAAATCCATGTTCATATTTGCTTTTAGTTAGCTTAATTGACGGTGCAAAAAAAAAAAAAAGCTAATTTCAGCATTCAGATCTTTTTCGTTTCATCTTTTCTCGAGTAAATGTAGTCAACATTGTAAATTTTATATTTTTTCTGGAGAATTCGACAATGTTTTAGTGTGTGCAAGTTATAGATTGAAGATTGCATAATTTTATATATAAAGTTTGAGAAATTATTTTATTCATTGACAATCGAGTTTTTAAATTCTATAAACGGTGTTGTAGAGTGACACATATATATTAAAAAAAATTAATTAAAAAATTAGATATTAGTCAATCTCTTAATTTTATTTGTGAAATTAAAAAAAATCATTGACAATAAGTAAAAATGAACTCAATTAGATATTACTCGTAAATCTAAAAAAACAAAAAAAACCAAGTTTGTGCTCTTAATAGATTGAAAATTGCATAATTCCATATACAAAGTTAAGGGCAATGTCAATCAATTTTATGAAGAAAATGAAAATAATTCTTTTGCGTATTTTTCTTTCCCCAGTGTCCTATGTTAGATGTAATACACTCTCTTTCACCTTTTTTTTGTTTTATTTCAAAAGTAGATTAATTTCCAATGTAGACGACATATTTGAATTAATGAGATAAAACGTATAACGTATTGATAAAAATGGTTAGATCCCATCTCAATAACCAATCCAGTGCTCCTGCATTTACAAGTTACTTGATCTGATATTCCAGAGAAGTTTCCTAGTGCATAGTGCATATATGTTAATTTGCTTTATTGGATAGATAATTCTAATGGTAACGAAACATTAAACCGTTAAATGTTAGAGAGACTTGGTAAACTAAAACTTGTCTTGAATTGAATATTTGCTTTCAAGGAGCTTAATTGATGGTGCAAAGAAGCTAATTCCACTATTCAGGTCTTCTTGCTCATGTCATCTTTGAGAATAGAGTAAAATCTTGTGAAAGCTGCCTTGGGATCATTTCAGGATTGAAAAACAAGAATTTGAGCATAGGAAAAGAGCATAAAAAATGAAAAGGATTTGTTATATTGCTTGAAGAAGATATAAATGTAAATTATTAAAGAGCAAATTACTAGATTTTTTTCAGAGCTTCCCCAACTAAATTATCCTTTCCTTGACTGGGACAAAATTGACAACACGGGAAGGCAACTCCTAATGTCGGAAATCAAAGCAATAGAAACTTTGAAAATGGGACAACACAATAGCACTATTTAGTGTTTTAGCCAATATTTATTTGTTTGTTACAATTCTTTCTTATGTAAAAACCGTTTTGTTTTCTCACATGAACTTTTTTGGCCAAAGAAGTGCCGTAAGGAAAGAGCTTAATGTGCCGTTGACTACACCTTACAAGTGGAGTCAGGTTGGAATTAAATTGCAAAAGTGAACCAGGCTTGATTTTCTAGGAAATTGATTTCATTATTCTATGATCATAAGGAGTTTAAAAAGAATTAATTGAAAATGACACCCATTTAATTTCAACCAAAACGTTTTTCCACAATCTTGTGAAAAATATGTTTCTTTTCAGTATGCTTCTGTATTTACAAGTTTACTGGGTAAGATATTGCAGAGAAGTTTCCCATGCACATTGCAACTATATTGATTTGCATTGTTGGATGAAATGCTCTTTTTTTTTTCTTCTTACTGGATCTCACCTCTTTGTTGCCTCTAGGTAATAGGTGAATGACTGATGGTGGTAGGGAGCAACAGTCGTTAAAGTAAAGATGGAAAGCTCATCTTGTCCATACGGGGACAAAACCAGCAAACAACACTTTATATATAGTGCTAAATATGTGATTTTCATGATTCTATATACAGGTTAAAATATTGCATAATTTTTCATAATACAGCAATAATAGTTATTATGAAAAAACAAAATTAAAAGAAGTTTTTTTAAAGGAGCATTTGTTAGTGAAAAATGATGAATTGAATTCAACGGATACAGGATATCATATGAGAAAGTTAAATAAGAAAATATTATGCACTTGAATATTTAACTCAACAAGAATTGGATTTGGTTCGATTCTCTTTCCTCAAATCAAAATAAGAAGTATCTATTTTGAAGTGTTGTTTACTCTAAAATTTTGAACTTTTCTCATTTCTTGCTACGATTACCTACAGCTTTTACATGTGATGCATGTTTAGGCGCTAAATCTTTTTGTTCTAGTCTTTTTGAATTGAGATAGTTTCTCCTGTTAAAAGAGAAAAGTAGGAACATAGGTTGATAATTTCACCAAAAGCAATAATTCCCATGATGTTTATCACAATCGTTTACATCATCAATGTGAGATACACTTATACTTTAAAAATTTGGAATGTTACATCATCAATGGGCAAAATAAATGCAATGATGATGTTATCCCTATACTTTACTATTAATGATTAGCTTTGGTCGGCAATGATAATGGGATCAAATGTCAAATATTTTCTTTTTGCTTTTAGATTAACTTTAATTGGATCCAATGAAAAATGTCCATATTTTCACCTTTGCTTTTGCTATTGCTATTGCTAGGAAGCAAGACCAAGCTCCACATAAGCATTCTTAATTAATTCTGATTGGCAGCAAAGAATCAATCGTACTTTAAGGAATATGTGTTGCTTTTTCCACATCCTGATGAAGAAACAAAGAAACCACTAATTTTCCTACAAATAAACAAAATGCTCAATGTGCTTTAAGGAATATGCCTTGCTTTTTCCACACCCTGATGAAGAAACGAAGAAACCACTAACATTCCTCCTTTGAGTAAACAAAGTGCTCTATTTGTGGTTCAAAAGTTTCTTCAACAAAGACGGGAATGGTTAGCAGATCTACCTTTCCTAAGCCTTGTTAATCACATTTTTAACTTGGTTTGTCATCAGTATTCGTCAAACCAAGTAACAGAAACTTTGATAAGGATTAAATTCAATGTTTTACATTCATTGATGCGCACTGATAGACTACATATTCCCACAATTTCCCCAAAAAGCAATAATTCCTATCAAGTTTATCAGAAACATTTACAGCATTAATCAATTTGAGACAACTATATAATTCAACAAGAGGAATCAGCTATGCACAATTCTACTGGTAAGAAAAACTTTAAGCTATAAAAAATGTTACAGATCAGATTGGATGAACCAATCTGTCTTGAGGTCGAAGTCATTGATGTGAAGTTGGGGTTGGGTTGGTGCAATTGGTGGATCCCATCTCCCAATTTGCCTTCAGGTAGCTTAATTGACGGTGCAAAAATGTTAGTTTCAGGTGTTGTTGCTCATCTCATCTTTTTCTCCAATAGGTGTAGTCAATACTGCAAATTGTACATTTTGTGTGTAATTCTGCAATGTTTTGGTGAGTGCACGTCGTGGAGTCAAGTCCAAGCTAACGTAATAAATTTCAAGTCTTTTTTTGTTTTTTTTTGTTCATTTACCCAAATCGTAGTAAACACTTCAAGAAGTGGAATCAACAAATGTTATAGTGATTGAGAAAACTAATTAGTCTTAAATCAGTGCGCTGACGTGAATGAAGTTGGGCTTCTGCAATCAGTGGCTCCCATGTTCCCATTTGCTTTTAGGTAGCTTAATTAATGATTCAAAGAAGCTAGCTCCAGCATTCAAGTCTTCTTGGTTAACATATAGATAATTCTGTTACCAACTCAGAATTTTTTATGCGATGAGAGTTTTTTTTTCCTTATTCTGTTCTAAATTTAAACTTGTGATAAAAAAATGCAGCTTCCCTTTAGTTTAAATGGAAATAATTGAAATGACACCAATTTAATTTCAAGCAAAACATTTTCCATAATCATGTGGAAAATATAAAGTTTTTCTGCAGTATGCTTCTGTATTTTTACAAATGTCCAATGATGATAGGATTGATAAATGTCCAAATTTTCAAATTTTTGTCTTTGCTTTTAGATTTGGTAGATTGACAATGCTATTCAATTCACGTTGACAAGTCTTACTTTCTAAGTCGTCGCATTCTAATCTTTCCAAAAATGGACGTAGCTCTCATTCTGCAAATTTGCTTCCCAGGGGAGGATAAAGCAATTCTCTCTATATTTTTGTTCTCCAGTGCAGTCTATATAAACTCATTCAGACCAATCATATCTCATACCATTAATCTTCAATTTCTCTTACTTAAAAAAGATGTGGTGCTTACTCCGAGCCTATCAATTCCTCTACCTTGTCTTGTTCTTCCTGTATTTTCAAGCTAATCTATCATCCTATTCTCTTTCTTCTCCAAAAACTCAACTTTGCTCTCACAATGAAGCTGTTGCACTAATCCAATTCAAGAACTCTGTTTCAGTTAATCAACTTTATTCTTATTCTTCCTATCCTAAGACAGATTCATGGAAGGAAGGTACGGATTGCTGCTCATGGGATGGGGTGACCTGTGATAATATAAAAGGTCAAGTGATTGGCCTTGATTTGAGTTGCTGCGGGCTATATGGCACCATCCCTTCCAATAGTACTCTCTTCCATCTTCCACACCTTCAGAAGCTCAACCTTGCCTTCAACGATTTTAACTCTTCCAAGATGTCATCTAAGTTTGGTGGGTTTGCAAGTCTAGCGTATCTCAACCTCTCCAGATCAAACTTTGCAGGACAAGTCCCATCCCAAGTCTCCTACTTGTCAAAATTGGTTTCACTTGATCTCTCTGGGAATTATCACCAAACACTTCAGCAACATGCTTTGGAAGGACTTGTTCACAACCTAACAGAGGTGAGAGATCTTCTTGATGAAATCGACATGTCTTCTATTAATCCTAATGCCTTGAGGAATCTATCCTCATCTTTAAGGTCTCTTAGTCTCAATGATTGTGGTTTGCGAGGAAAATTCCCAGAAAACATTTTCCATCCGTCAAACCCCAAGTTGCTCAATTTAGGACGCAACAGAAACCTCAGTCTCAATCTTCCACAATTCAATCGGAGCAGCCATCTCAAACTTTTGGATCTATCAGATATGTCCTTCTCTAGAGAATTGTTTGAATCGATTGGCAATTTAGTATCTTTGGAGCATTTGGATGCATCAAACGCATTTTTCTCAGGAGGAGAATTGCCCAATTCAATCGGGAACCTTATTTCCTTGAACTATTTGCATCTCTTCAATTCCAACTTATCAGGATCAATTCCAAGATCATTGGGGAACCTCACGCAACTCAGTTATTTGTGCTTGTCAGAGAACTCTTTTAGTGGATCAATTCCATCGTCACTCACAAACCTAAAACAACTTGAATTTTTCTACCTTTTTGGAAATATGCTTGAAGGTTCCATTCCAGATGAGGTAACTGCTTTTCCTAATCTAATCTCGCTATCCTTGAGTTCAAATTTACTGAGTGGAACACTTCCATCATGGTTGTATACCATTTCCTCCTTAAAGTACATATTTCTCTCTAATAACCGATTCAGTGGTCATATCAAAGAATTCCAATACAACTCTCTGGAAGTGATAATGTTAGATAATAATAAACTCCAAGGTCCTATTCCATCTTCATTATCCCAACTGGTGAACCTTACTTTTCTTTATTTATCATCAAATAATCTAAGTGGTATTGTAGAGTCTAGCATGTTCTCCAAACTCCAAAATCTTTGGCTGCTTGATCTTTCATCTAACAGTCTATCCTTAAACTCTAATGCCACTAGTGCTGTTTATACATTGCCTAATCTAGAATATTTGTATTTGTCTTCTTGCAATGTTAGCGAATTCCCCCAATTCTTAAGAGGCTCAAGTTTTTTGCTATTTTTAGACCTTTCCAGTAATAGAATTCATGGCAAGATTCCCAAGTGGATGTGGGATGTAGGGAGGGACTCTTTAAGTTACTTAAATCTATCTCACAACTCTTTGACAGATATTGAGCAATTACCATGGAAGGAAATTCAAAGTATTGACCTAAGCTCCAATTTGATTCACGGAGATCTTCCTATTCCACATTGGAAAACACAACTATTTTTTATCTCAAACAATCGTTTGAGCGGAAAGGTCTCCTCTGTAATTTGCAATATGACTTCTCTTCAATTTCTTGACTTGTCTCACAACAACTTGAGTGGAATCATTCCCCGATGTTTGGGAAATTTAAGAGAAAGCCTCCGGATGTTGAATCTACAGATGAACAAATTTCATGGAATCATTCCTCCAATTTTTACAAAGGGATGTCAATTGAAGAATCTCAACTTAAATGGCAATCAATTAGAAGGGCCTTTAACACAATCCATCCTCAATTGTAGAGGTCTGGAAGTGCTAGATCTTGGCAACAACAAGATAAATGATACATTTCCTCATTGGTTGGGAAGTCTTCCAGAGCTACAAGTTCTTGTATTGCGGTCAAATCAACTGCAAGGTTCCGTACAAGACAATGAGTCCAGTCATTCTTTTTCCAAAATCCAAATTTTTGACGTCTCAAGTAATTCCTTTTCTGGAGCACTACCTGTGAGATGTATAAAAAATTTCAAAGCTATGATAGATCTCACAAAATATAAAAGTGCAATGCGATACATGGGGGTGAGTGTTGGGTCTAGTGAATTCTATAGCTATTCCATTAAAATTACAATCAAAGGAGTAGAGATGGAAGTGGTGAAAATTTTCACCAAGTTAACGACCATTGACCTTTCAAATAATAACTTTCAAGGAGAGATTCCAATGGTTATTGGAAAGCTTAACTCACTCAAAGGGCTTAACCTTTCTCATAATAATCTTAGTGGATGTATCCCCACTTCAATAGGGAATTTGATTAGTCTTGAATGGCTGGACCTCTCTTCAAACAAGCTGGTTGGGACGATTCCAGAGGGATTGCTAGATCTGACATTTCTTTCAATCTTTAATGTTTCTGAAAATCATCTTGAAGGTCAGATTCCTCAAGGCAAACAATTCAACACTTTTGGAAATGATTCATATGAAGGAAACAAGGGATTATGTGGATTTCCGGTCTCTAAAGGTTGCAGCAACAGTGAGCCCCCACCTTCGAACTTGCTGGAAGAAGATGGCTCAAACTCGAACATTGCTTCTGGTTGGAAAGTAGTGTTAATAGGTTATGGATGTGGAGTTGTCTTTGGATTGGTAATTGGATATGTTGTTTTTCAAACTGATAAGCCAAAATGGATTGTGGCTTTGGTTGAAGACCAACATCATAAGAGGCAAAAAAGGTCAAAGATTGGCCATCGCAATGGTGGAGGAAGAAGAATCTAGTCAGTGCAAATGATGTTCAAGCATTTCTGTTACGTTTTTACAGTTTATTATAGTGCAGTCTATCCAATGTTTTCCCTATGGTGAAGGTTACTCATGTATGTGTTTTTTCTTTCTATTTAATAATGTGTGTAAGCATCCATTCTGAGTATTTACATCTTATGTGATTGCAGCAATTTATGTTTTCTTCCATCATTTTGGTTTCAACCTGTTTGACTTTATAATCTTTGCTACTACTCTCCAAGAAAATGGAAAATCTTAAATTATAATAAAATGTTTTACTTTGCATGAGACTAGGGATCGGTTGGGAAGAGCTGATTGTAAATTAAATTATTTGGTTTTATTTTAACTTTCAAACATATGAAGCAATGAAATGAATTAATTTGGACACTTATGTTTCAATTGTCAACTTCACTCCCATGGTTCATATGTAACCCTCAGACAATAAGACAATATAATAAAAGTTACCTGGTTTATCTAATATATACTCCTATATTAGTATATTTTACTAATTTTGATTCCGGTTCCAAAGCAAGCATTCTTAATTCTGATTAACATGAAAAGACTGATTTTGCTTTACTGGCTTTTCCGCATCCTGAATTCTAGAAAAGTACATTGAAGAAATGAAGAAACCACTAACATTTTCACCTTGAGTAGCTTACTGAAACAAACAAGAAGGTGAAGTTTTTGTGGTTCACCAAAGAGTGGCATGGTTATAAAGCAAAGATACCTAACTTTGGCAAAGACATTGATGTCAACATAAAAGCAAAAGATCAAAACAAGAGGATGAAATAGTAGCCTTCATAAGATAAGTAAAAAAAGGAGAAACAAGAGGAATTGATTGTTCCATCCTAAGCATCTTGGCATTTCTTACTTGAATATTAATCTCATAATTGTTGAGGAAGATATCAAAATGCAGACAAACATCTATAAACTAACATGTCAGCAAGAATTCAATGAATTGTGTTCCGGTATTTTTTCTCTTGAATGATTCTTATTTGTTGAAGAACCTCAAAGTAAGATGGATATTTTTTATTAAAAAATGAACTTTTCTTGGATTAAGGTGTTATGTGGAAGCACTTCCATAGCATGTTTCTGTGCCCACTTAAAATGGCATCATTTGATTTGTAAGGCATAACTTTTCAACATTAATATTAGATTGAACTTGGAAAAGTTTTCTTGCAGCTTGAGATGTTAAATGAGTTGTTATATATATATATATATATATATATATATACATACTAGTATTACAGGAAAATGAACTATCGATTGGACCTCACCTCCTAGCATGAAGAACTGTATCCGCATATATAAAATATCTGTTTGTCAGTTGCAGGTATTCTTTACATTTTTTTTACTGTTTTGTAGAACATTACTATGAGACAGTGTCAGGTTTTGTATGAAAGGCATTTGGATATATTCAAGGACAAGTGAGAGTGTTAAGGTAATGCTTGAAAGGAAAATCAAGAAGATGATAATGAGAATTTTGAAGCTGGATCCGATAATCAAGATCTTAAGGAGACATTTCAAATATATGAACTTGCGGTGTGGTTCAAACCTTGCAATATGCATTTATATTACATAACATTGCTTTTGAATAATGTTACATATATGATAAATTGAAAGCCGATTAAAATCATAGTATTCGGTTTGGATTGTTTTTTTTATTTAGTTTAAATTAAGTTTAAATATTAAATGTTTCATTAGGTTTGGATCAACTTTCAAATCAGAAGATGAAAAATTAAAAATATTCAAATCAAACCGAATTATATTTTTTATTAGTTTCTATATCTTAAATTTTTATAAAATAAAATAATTATTTTAGGTCTAAATCTATTGGTAGAGTGATGAACTCTTACTTTTAGAGATCACGGTTCAAATCCTGATAGCTTCAAGTACAAAAAAATATATATTTAAATATATTAAAAATTATATTAAATAATATCAAAAAATTAAAATAAGTTTAAAATTTAAAATCTAATAAATCGAATTGAACTAGTATAATTTGGTTAGAATCATATTAGTTTTAAAAGAAATTTGATTCAAATTTGGATTGATTTGTGAAATTTACATTATTATGTATTAACCGAAAAAACCAAACTAAACCATTATCACCCTTACATTTATCTAAGTACTTTTTAAGGTTAGCTTCTAAATTAATGGAGAAAGCAAAGTGATCCATCACCCTTTTTATTTCTCAGCCAAATCACTCAAATGTAGATATTCTTCTGTGATATAATTATAATACTAATTGCTATACTCAATCTCAATGAAAGTGAACAAGAATGCTACACCTTAAAGAAAATGGTCATAAAACACATGTTACATGGAGGAGTAAGCTTAGATGAAATTCGGTAAAATCATTATGATCGAAGGAAGCACCGATGAGCATTCACCATGGCATCTTTTCTTCGCGTAGCCTTTTTCAAATTATTGTTGCTGCTCGTGACAGCCAATTAATAGATTTTCCTGCAAATGTCTCTTCAATCTGACTTGAAAAATAGGAGAAAAACCAACATTTTACAATTTTCACAAATGAAATAAAGTGTCAACATCCGAATCATTAGAGGTAGATGCTGCTTGACAGTATCTATCGACCGTAAATATGACAATATGGGAGTGTCAATAACCTGGCGCTGGGTATCCATGGCCTGCATGCAAGACTCACTGTAAAAAGATCCTTGGAGAGATGGAAAAACTATTGGGTGCCTCGTGAGATGTGGCTAGGATTGATCCGCTCTGCTTCAGTGAGAACCGTAAAACTTTTTTCTCTTGCCTTATTTACTTCGCTCTCTGCAACTGTCTGAACCGCTCTAGCTAGAGGACAATGGATGAATGAACAGGTTGGTCACTCTGCCTTCCCATTAGAAAATGAACTGGAGCCTGTCAATGGCACCGGGGAGAATGCCCTATACAGTGGTCTAATGTTGGCTATTTTTTTATATATAGGGTATTAGTAAACTTTGATGCGGATATCTGCACCCTATCTGCAAAGTCTGTTTTGAAGACAAAAAAAAAAGAAAGTAGAGATTGAGGATGTCGATGCAAGACAAGAGTTGGAACAGAGAATATATTTTGGATATGTTTTTCTCTATGTTTTGTCAGGAAGATGTTGGATAGAATTGGCATGCAAAGAGAAAGCTATCATTATTAGATTCGTTTTGTGACTTTTGTTGCTAGAATACTCGTCTTTGAACTTAACTATTGGAAAAGTGGGCACAAGCTGAAAAGTAGCTTACCAAATCCTAGATATTTCATATATAATTTACACATTAACAATACAATGAGATGACATAAAAAATAATACAAAAAAGACATAAAAATAATATGATTAAAAATTTTAATAAAAAATCATATATGAATTTAATAAAAAAAAGAAGATATATGTTGTAAACACCATTTTTTTATTATTATTATTATTTTATTTAATTTTTTTCTTTTTTTTCCGTTTTCTTTTTTTTTCTCTTTTTTCTTTCTTCTTTTTTTCCTTCTTTCTTTTTTCTTCTTCTTCTTCCTTATCCGATTCAAGTTAACTAAGCATAAGTGCATTCAATGCACTCTCTCTAAAATCCAAAACCACCACCGGCAGCCGCCGACACTAGCCAATGCGTGAATGTCAGCTTATCATGCTACTTGAAAAGATGAGACTCGAATCCCTGAAGATCTGGGATTTGAATCCTAACAAGCTCTATAAATAGAGCTTGTAATATGCGAAAAAAGAGAAGAAACCGAAAAAAATTGAGAAAAAATTACAAAAAAAATAGAGCTTTCTATCAAAAAAAATTACTGCAGAAACAAAAAAAAAAAGCAAAAACAGTCCCTTGAAACGGGGAACCCAACACCAAAATACACCTACACATAAAAAAGGCAAACCAGAAAAACACACAAAAAAAATTATCTTTTTGGCCGAAACTTTGAAGGTCGATCTGGGTTGTTTGAGATACTTTCGGGTGAAACCAAGTCCAAATCTGTGTTTAGGGGGACGAAGAGGATTTTTTTAGGGTTTTTTGAGATTTTTTGACCATTGGTGACGGCGGCCGATGACCAACAAACAGCAACGAAGCGATGGCAACGACGGTCGGCTGATCCCCTGGTTTTTTTTTTTGGTCTAAGAGAAAAAGAAAGTTTTTTTTTATGGGGAGAAGAAGAATTGATCGAAAAAAAAATTTAGTTTTATATAAGCGGCCAAAACCCAAAATGACGTCGTTTCACTAAAGCCCAAAACAACATCGTTTTAGCCTCTGAGGATTCGGGCGTCGACCTGGGATCTGCGAAACCGATTCGATTACCCGATTCATCCTCAGACCCGATCGATTCAGGTGAACCGGACCAGACCGTCGCTAAACCGCTAACACTAGAATCGAACTGTCCTTGAACCACCAGATTGAACCGAGCCGTCGATCCAACCAGATCCGTATTGATCGGACCGTTGACCGGTCCGGTTCAGGTAAAAAAAATTTTTTTAAATTTTTTTATATATTATTTTTATAATATTTATGCATACTAAAATATTTAAATTTGTTAAAATAATTTTTTATGTAGTTAAAATTTCTATAATTTTGTTAATTTTAAAATAAAATTTAAAATATAATAAAATGAAAAATAATGAAACTTTATAATAATAATATTGATAAAAAAATAAGAAAAGAAAATTTTATCCAATGATGGGATTTAAAGGTATTCCAAGTAGTAATGCCTATGAAATCTCTAGGTGAGAAAATTTTTTTTAAAAATACTACCAATATATTAGAGTATTTATAAAAATTTTTTAATATAATAAAAATTATTTTTTTGTTAACAATAAAAAAAAATTAATTAATAAATTAAGAATAAGTAATATAAACAAGGAAAAAAAGAAATTATATCCAATGATAGGATTCTAGAAGTATTTCGAGTAAAGATGCTTTAAAAAATCCCTAGGTGAGAAGTTTTTTTTTAATATTACCAGCGTATTGGAATATTTATAGAAAATCTTCAATATGATAAAAAAAATTTTCTTTAAAATAAAAAAAATAAATAAAAAAATAATAAAACAATTAATAAAATTTTAATGTGTGCATCAACATGTTATTATTTGCATTGCATACATGACACATTTTTTTACGAAAAGTAAATTCGGACTTCCAAAGATGAGATTCTAAGGTATTCTGAGAAGTGATACCTAAGAAATCTCTATGTGAGAAAGAGTTCTTCTAATGTTACCAACGTATGGAAACATTTTAAGAATTATTTCAGTAAAAAGGTTCTAATTTATTTTTCTGAAATAATATTTGAATATAAAAGTAATAAATAAAAAAATAAA